TTGGACCCTGGGCTGGGATCTGTGCCGCCTACAACAGGTCCCTGGAACCCAGAGACGACGAACCCATTTGTAAATAGTTTGTGGACTCCGTTGAAACCAAGCCATGTTTTGCAAGAATCCCTGAACCCCTTTGTAGGGGGAAATCCGGTTGGTGTTAATACAGGAATAAATACTGAACCATTTGAACTACCTCCACCGTCTCGTCCATTTATTGGGGAGCAAACAGCCCTTCCAAACGAACCCTCATACACTCCCTAGTCATCCTGTTCACAAAGGGACTGTTGTTTACAATACTGGACATTCATTTTAGGAAGTTGCTTTTTGAGATAGTTAATGAAATGATATCTTGCACAGAAGAATTGGTCTGGACTTTATAAAATAAACTCTGTCTCTTGTAACTTGAATTGGAGAAAGGTTTATCATCATACATGCTTTACTTTTCTATGCAGGGATTTCTATGTTACTGCCTATAAACGTGTGTACATTTGCTCTTCAGTTTCCCTGCATCTGTCTGCCATCAAGCATGTCTGTAAATATTTGCCAACTGTATCCGTTTGACACCAAGCATTTGTTTAAATATTGACCAATGAAGACAATACTCTGTGTATTTGATGAAGTTGGTTGTAGTCCATGAAAGTTTATATTGGTCTTTAAAATGCCACTAGTTTCTCATAATTTTTGTTGTAACAAACCCTGAGCCATAAAGAAATATGATCTTTTACTGATAATAAGGCCAGCCCTCCAACTAACTCCCACAACACACAAAAGTCATAACATAAGTCTAGTTCAAGGACTGAATGCTACAGTCGTTCATAAATACATGGTGTCAGGGGAAGAATCTCAGTGGATATTAATTTTATTTTATTCTGTCCAAAGCCTCTTTGAATTCTAGTTGTAGAGGTTCTTGTGGCCATTGAGATCAGTTTAATAGGATGGGTGAGACCGTTTTCTTTAGTTATGGCTTAGTATCTTCAAGTAATGTGGTTTTTATTTTTAGTGATAAGTTAGCGTCCTTTGAGGAACTGCAGTTTCCCTTCATCATCCATCCATGTGTATAAATGTTGATAATTAATGATACTTTAGAAGCAAGACATTGCTTATCACAAAATTATGCAGGTCACAATTTCAGAACTCATTTTTGAAATGTGGTCTGTGCGTGTTCTGTGCCATCCAGTTGAAACTAACTCATAATGACTAATAGAGCTTTTAAGATAAGTGAGATATTTAAGGATTGGTTTTACCAGTTCCAATCCCCCAGTGAGTTTCCATGGCCAAGCAGGCATTCAGCCAGTGAGTTTCCATGGCCAAGCAGGCATTTAGACCTCCAGAGTCCTAGTCTGTCACTCTATTCGCTATACCAGAAGTCCCCAACCTCCTAGTCTGTCACTCTATTCACTATACCAGAAGTCCCCAATCTCCGGTCCGCGGCCCAGTGCCGGTCCGTGGCCTGAGCCAGACCAGGCTGCGGAGAGAGACCTCCCTCCCCACCCTGCAGGCAGTGCCCCACACACAACTCATTTGCGCCTGCACGCGCACGCCCACACAACCACTGCGCTGCCCTTTGCACATGTGCATGAGTGCACACGCTTGCACAAGCACTTCACTGCCCTTTGCACATGCACACGCACATGCTCCGTTATGCATGTGCATGAGTGCAGGAGGCGTGCCCTGCCTTCCCCAGCTGGTCTGCAGGGCTAAAAAGGTTGGGGACCGCTGTACTATACCACACAGGGAATTCCTAGAACATGGTACCCAGGCTTTAAGTGATACTCTTTTGTAGCAAGATCTCCCTTTCATAAGGACTCGCTATATTGACCTACTTTTTAAATAGAGATGGTTTAAGTTTAAGACTGTATATCTTTTAAAACTTTTTGTAGTGTTTCCCCCTCTTACTCTGTAATAAGCACTATTGTAACAAAAGCAAGGGCAACAAGATGATGATTGAAGAATGTAGGGAAGTGGATCTGTTGCATTCCTTAAATATGGCAATATCTTACTGGCCAATAATTAACTGGTCTTGCCTCTATCAGGATGTCCATATATGAATTGGGAACATTCATATTTTGTGTTTACACCTTTTGAAATCTGTAGATAATAGGCTGCAAAACATGGATATAATAGTATTATAAGCAGCTGCACCGGGTGGATTTCAGAATTATTTATATTTTTACCTTACATGAAAGTAATTTATCTTTTATTGCTTGCTTACATGTTACATTCCAGTGTGTTGACTGAATAGAGTGCATTGACAATAGAATTATAGCACTGGCATGGAAAACTTAAGCTGGATCTACAACTCTGCATATTATTTTGTCTTATGATGTTATGTTGCCTTTTTATGCAGGATAACAAAGAAGCCAGCAATCTTGTGCCAAACAATGGAGATCATGATTCGATTGCTAGAAATGACAAATTCAAGCCTGTGTTACCTTGGCCTCATGTTGAAGGTGTGGAAGTAGACTTAGAGTCAATTCGACGAAGGAATAAGGCCAAAAATGAAGGGAATCCTCTTGCTGGAGTCAATAACGATCAACAAAACATCATGAAGCGGCAATATCTTACATTTAAGCCACAGTCATTTACTTACCATGATCCTGTATTGCATTCTGGAATTCTTGGTAATTTTGAACCCAAACAACCTGAACCCCATGGAGTTGTAGGTGGCCCTGGTGAGGAAGCCAAGCCATATGTTTTGGGACCAGAGTATAAAGAATCTGTTCAAGCCAGCATTAAAGAATTTGGGTTTAACATGGTAGCAAGTGATATGATCTCATTAGATCGAAGCATTAATGACTTGCGTCAAGAAGAGTAAGTATCTGCTTTGACTCTTTTGGGGGGAATAGTTTAATTGGATTGATTGTTTCCATTGTAAATGTTGTTTCATCATCTAGCAGTTGATTCAGTCAGCTTGATTGTCCCCCAATACAATAAACATAATTCTCTTACTTAATGTAATATGTATTAGAGATATTCAAATAAGAAGAATAAATTATTAGTACTTTATGCCACATGTGCTATGCAATTATTTTTTTCTCTCATGGTAAAGAATTGCACTGCCATGAAAAATGGTTACGTAACTCTTCCTGCCCTTTTGTTTTGCTTGTTCTTTGAAATATGGCCCATAACTTTTCCATAAGGCATGATGCCAGGTCCTGATGACCATTCTGTTATCATTAGAACCATTGCCTAGGCTACTGTAGCTCAACTGTTTATCTGAAGAATATTTTTCACCATGCGATTTGTGGACAGAATCAGTCAGCTGGGTATCTTTAAAAATCAACTAAAAACATGGATGTTTCGGCAGGCCTTCCCTCCAGACAATTCCTGATGCCCTCTCCTCTCCCTCTCCTATTGTTTCCTCCCTCTCCTAAGGTTTCCTCTATTTAAATTTTTTATACTATTTTATAATTGTGAATTTCATTGTATGTGTATATACTTACAATGACAATAAATTATTATTATGCTGTTAGCTGCCTAGAGTCGTCTTAACCGACCAGATAGGCGGGATATAAATAAAATAAATAAATAAATAATAAATAAAATAAAATTATTTTTTTCCTCTCATGGTAAAGAATTGCACTGCCATGAAAAATGGTTACGTAACTCTTCCTGCCCTTTTGTTTTGCTTGTTCTTTGAAATATGGCCCATAACTTTTCCATAAGGCATGATGCCAGGTCCTGATGACCATTCTGTTATCATTAGAACCATTGCCTAGGCTACTGTAGCTCAACTGTTTATCTGAAGAATATTTTTCACCATGCGATTTGTGGACAGAATCAGTCAGCTGCTACTGAACTTACGCTTTTTGCTTATTCTTCTTCTCTGACTTTAGTATCCGATGTAGGATGTGCTCCATTCTGAATTATCTCAGAAGCAACCACACAATGATTCCTATTTACAGTCATACACAGCATTATTTCCTTCATGTAATGTAATTGTTTTTTGCTGAGATTTTGAGTAGAGATTTTTATTTGTCCTCAGCATTTCTTTCAAATACAAAGTCTCAAGTTTTTCCCCATTTTCTGTCACTAGTAGAATCTGTGTTCTGTGCTTCTCTTCCATCCATCTTCATTAAGTCAAAGAAACAAGAAAAAGGCCACTGACAACCTGCACTTCTCCACATGATCACACATGCGCAAGAACATCCTGGTGAAGAAACCTGGGTCTACTAGAACTATTGCTCTGTTTCTTGCTTTTTCTCTCCTCTCCTCTCTTTTCCTTTTTGTATCTGTTAGTCCCTACATGTTAGTAGGAACTGGCTTCTTTCTTTACCTATATGGCAGTTAGGAAATGATAGGTGCTTTATAACAGTAAATTGCTAACAGTAACTTCATTCACAAGCTGTTCCTGCTGGAAGGGGAAAGTGGACCCATAGGAATCAGTAGACAAGAATAACAAAACACTGTCATCTCTAAATGTGCATTTCATAGAATTCTTTCCTAATGATGGTATTAGCTGTAATACCATTCATACTTAGGTATAAACAGGATCAACAAGTCTAGTTCCTATAGATGGCTTTTTTTCTTGGCGTCCCCTGCCCCCATCGAGAGGGACTGAATAAAGCAACCTTCACCACCCTTTGCTCATGTTATCAGCATTCCGTCCTCAGTCAGTTTTATTCTCAGCAGATACAGTCCTTCACTAGAATGTGTGTGTACATGTGAGCAATGCAGCTGGGGAGCTTGTCATGTGTTACATATCATCAGAACTGTTTCCAGCTGCTAAGCTGTGGCAAGGCTGTTGTGATAAAAATAGAGACCTAGAAATATATAGAGCGATAAAGTTCACAAACATGGCCACTGCATTTATTTCAAAATCTTTGACTGTTTTTCAAGTGTAATGTTCGTTTGCATATTCCTTACACAGCAGAACCATACACAGTTTGCAACCATGAGTGGCTCTGCATCTGTACAAAATATCTGAAATACATGTTCCTGACCTGTGGAGAAATACTTAGGCTTCTTTAGTGGAGGAAAAAACTGAGATCTTTGCATTTCTTGCAAAGTCTATGTGACATATAACTGTATGCTGTAAAAAGGCATACCAGCCATTCAGTCCAGTGATGCAGTACATATCTCATTACAGTTGGATCCACAATGGGTGCATTTTGTTCTGTTTGATCAAATTCAATCCAGCGCCACAATCTTGCTGTTCCCCTTCCTTCCTCTTAATCCCACTTTCCCTGTGTCTCTTGTTTAAGATTTTAAATCCAACAGGAGGAACCAAAATGCTTGACTTCTGTAAATCACATTGGGAGCCATTTTTGGTTGAGCAGCACGTTTTAAAAAAGAAGAATCAAATAAGTTGTTCTTACTAATCTAGTACTGCCTGCTCTAATACAGAACAGCCCTTCAGGGTATTAGGCAGATAGAACTGTCATCAAGAGAGAACTGGTCATAGCAGAACTAGACCTTTTTCCAAAGAGATAACTATGTTAATCTTTTGCAGCAAATCCAACCAAAAGTCAGGTTGTGCAATTGTAACAATTGTATTGAAGTGTAAGGTTTTGTGGATTAGAGGTCACTTCTTCAGATACATGACGTGTACTTTGTGGTGGAGATGAATGCAGATGTGTAAGACCAGTAGTGGTTAAATGCAAAAAGGGACTGTTAATGAAGTAGCAGTGTTGAATACATATTATTTTTATACAAGAGTTCCCCTTTGAGATTTTCTTGTGGATGGCTACCTTATGCTCAGAGTTTCCTGGGAGGCTGATATGTTCTCTCATTGGATATTGAAATTTTTCCTTTTCCAGTGTCTCACTTGCATCTGGTCCTTCTGCGTAGAGACTGCCCTGTTTTTTTTTTTCCCATGTAGAATACATAAAGGTATTACTGGCAGATGATATATATTACATTGCCCTCCTTCATGTTGTGATTGAACTTGCAACTGTACATTCATAAACCATGAACACTGTCATTCTTCTGTCATCACATTGAAATAATGGGTGAAATCTCAGATTTCAAAGAAGCAGGTTCAGATGCCTGGCTTGATTTATTTGGGGATTCTATGCAAGATTATGGCTACCTCTTCTTTTGCGGGCAGATAGAGCAAAGGTCAGAGCACAGATTAATTTGGTAGAAGGGCCATAGTTCAGTGATAGAGCATGTGCTTTGTTTTAGAAGATACAGATTCAGTTTCTAGTGTCTTCAGGTAGGACTTTTTCCAGCCTAGAGAATTGTTAATACTCAATGTAAACAATATCAAGTTACATGGACTCATGTCTGACTTTGAGTAAGATAACTTCCTATATTTTTATGGGATTGTGTGTATATCTAAGGATTCCCAGTGTGGTGGTGTAGATAGTGTGACAGACTAGGACTCTGGAGATGAGGGTTCAAATTCCCGCTCAGCCATGGAAACTCACTGGGGGCGTGGAACTGGTAAAACTCACTCCTTAAATATCTCACATACTTTGAAAGCTGCTTAAATATCTCACATACCTTGAAAGCTGTGTTAGGGTTGCTGTAAATCAGTTCCGACTTGACAGCACATATGTATCTGTGACAAGTCAAAATTGGTCTGTTAAAAACGCTCCACTGGGTACATTATTTTGAGGAGTTCAACTTTTGGCTAGTGTCAAGGATCATCGGTTCGGGGAGGCCCACTGTACCTACTTAGCCACACTACCCTGGTTGTCCTGCTGTGGGTGAAACCAGGAGGGCCAAATATGCTGATGCCTGGGGGAATCCTCCTTCCTGGCACCCTCCCAAAACCTTAATCGGACCCTATTACGCAGTACTTCCTGGAAGCAATACTTCCAGGAAGTTCCCAGAAATTCACAAGGTTATGCACTTTGTTGTGACAAGCCTACAAGGTAGAAATGCTACCACACCCACAAAACATACAGGCTCCCACTAGATGGTTATGTCAAGGCCTGGTACCACAAACTAAGTACCACAAACCGTCTTAATCAAACAAGTCAAACAACTATATGGAGAAATTTTGTATTTTATTAAAGATGGTGAAAAGGTCAAAAAGCAGAATATTTTCAAAAACAGTCTTGACAGTTGCAAAGACTGTCAGAAGGGGTTTGAAGAAAATAATTAAAAGCTTGAGGCAGGAGCAATACAGAGCAAATGTAACACTTAAGTTCTATGGAGCTATTTGCTTATTAGTGATGAATCTTGCAAACTCGATTTCACAAAATGTCTCTTATTTGCATTCATATAACAGATAACATGAACAATTATAACAAATAAAAAACGCTACAATTTGTGGACCCAAGTCCTTGGCAATAGCAGCAATACAGAAGCTGCTTGTAGAATTAGCAAAGTTTAAATGTCCCTTTGATTTCAAAGGCAGACAAAAATCCAAGATATCTTTCTCAACTTGCTTAGGTATCCATAACACATAACCTAAAATAAAATATCAATACAATTGTTTGCAGTTCATGAATTCATTATGTAGCTTCACCCCTCCAACATATATAAAATTATACTTAAACCAAGTTGACAAGGGCCTTATTAGTCCACCTGGCAATAGCAGCTCCAACCTCTTTAGCTCTCCCACTCCTTCTGAGATTCAAACCTTTTACTCACAGCCCTGATCTTTCTTAGCCCCATCCCTTTAGGCTGAACCAGTATTCCATAGGGGTTACACAAGCGCACAAGAGAATAAGAAAGCTAGCTAAACTATTCTAGTATTTACACTCTATGAACATAGCGTCTGTACCAAGAGATAACTAAGCCAACTGAAGTAATTTCTGTCTCTGTTTTTATACTTTAAGCTTCAGCTGCTGGACTTTTCTAGAGGGTCTTCCAATCAGATTCCTCAAACATTCATGAAGACAAGAGTATTTTCTGCC